TGACTCGAATGACGCTGGTGCCGAGCGTGTTGCAGCTCCTCTGCAACGAACCTGCTCGGGCCCTGCCTGCGCTACGTGGTCGTCAGCGGCGAGCCGCTGCACGCAGATCTGATCGCAGCACTCTTTGCCGCACTGCCGTATGTGCAGCTACTGCACCTCTACGGTAGCATGCATCGACAGAGAAGAGATAAATCCTCATGCATGGAGAGGGGGTAGGCAGCACCGAGGTCGCGGGCGATGCGACGTTTTGGCTCACTACGACGACGGCGGCCCCCGTGCCCATTGGCACCGCCATCGGCGCGACCAAGCTACGGCTCGTGGACGCAGAGGGGGCTGAGATCGCGAGCGACGAGACGCGTGGTGAACTCTACATCGGTGGACCGCCCCTCGCGCGTGGCTACGTCAACCCGTACGACCGTCAATCTTGTCGAGAGGGTGTTGAAAGCATTTGCGCGGCTAGGTCGGACAACGAGTCCCACCGCTTTTGCATGCTCCACGGCGAGCGCTGGTTCAAGACGGGCGATGTCGCCTACTGGTCCAAGGGCCTTTTGTTTTTCTGTGGTCGGACCCACGCCGGGTATGTCAAAGTGAGTGGTGTGCAGGTGCACGTGGCCGCGATCGAGGTAAAGACGCTGCGGGGACAAAAGTCCTCAAATCCAATGTGTAGACCACAGTGCGGACGTACCTCGGTCAACACTACCTCAAATGGAAGGTGGCATTAGCACCTATCGCTTCGTCGGAGGGCTGGCATCAGTACGACACCCTCGTCGTCTGCGTCGGCATGGACGAAGACGACACCATGGACATCGATGCGCTTCGCGACGCCGTCGAGAGAGAGCATCCGCGTGTGGCCATGCACGTGCTCACGGTGCCGATCGCTCGCTTTCCAGAGACGTCGAGCGGCAAGGCAGATCCGTCTCAGATCCCTGCGCTGTTTGCGCAGCGGTCGTTGCCGTCGTGGCTGCGCGCGCTGCTGCCGCGTACGAGTGGCCTTGCCTCGACCCGGTTGGATCCGTCCACGACCTTGACCGAGCTCGGCCTCAACTCGATGGCGATGGCCATCGTCCTCCACACGCTTCAGTCGCAGCACGAGATGACGCTGCGTCCGATCGAGCTGGTAGTTGATAATCGTTTGAACGACTCAGATGCATACTGGATACCGTAGGCAGACATGACCGTCGCCGACCTGCAGGCGCTCGTGCAGCGCAAGCGGCCTCGTGCCATATCGCCCGAGGCGTCGAGGAAGCGAACGCGCGTGGCGCCGCGGATGGAGGCCGTGCGGTGGCGAGTGCGCGCCCACAAGTGCATTGACGCATCCCCGCGCCTCGCAACGACCGACGTCGGCGAGTACATCATCGTCGGGTCCCATGACCATACCGTTCTCTGCGTTGCCGCCGTGGACGGACACGTCGTGTGGCGGAAAGAGCTGCCGGATCGCGTCGAGTCGAGCGCTGCCGTGGCCAAGAATCAGGTCGTTGTCGGCTGCTACGACGGCGGCGTCTACTGCCTCGACGTCCTCTCCGGCAGCGTACGATCTCGACCGTCTCGTCGCGTTGGCCAGTCTCACAGCCTCTCTTGCTTTGTAGACGCTGTGGGTCTTCTTCACACAGGACCAAGTCAAGTGCTCGCCAGTCATTGTCGAAGAGGAGAATGCCGTCGTTGTCGGGTCCCACGACCACCACGTGTATGGGCTCGCGCTCACCTCGGGCGCGTGTCTGTTCAAATTGCCGTTCACCAAGAGGTACGACTGCGAGGTGGATCCAGAGTAGTACGAATTCGGACTCTTATTAGTGTTTTCTCCAGCCCCGTGTACGCTGCGACGGTGCTGTACTGCGCGTCCCTTGCCGGCGAAGTTCGCGCCTATGCGTGGTCGTCGCTGCGCCACGACGCGCCGACGCCGCTGTGGCAACACACGGTGTGTTTGTCCATTTCTTTGATTTCAAGTTGATACATGGATACAATCGAGATGGATGCCTAGTGTCCAGCCCCCGTCTTTTGCAGCTTGCGCCTCAGCGCGCGTCAGAGTGTGCTGCTCGTGGGATGCGCCGACGCCTCTCTCTACGCGCTCTCGACGACGACGGGGACGCCGCGATGGTCCGCGGCGACGACCAAGGTTCGTACGTGGCAGTGGACGCCTTGATACATTGATATTTTCGTCGGTAGCCCATCTTTAGCGCGCCCCGTATCGCGACACTGAGCAGTGGCAACGAGGTGGCTCTCTTCGGCTCGCACGATGGCGTCGTGCGTTGTGTGTCGACTGCCGACGGTACGAGTTCCCGTCACGAGATGCACCCGCCGACGTGGGCGAGTGCGTAGGTGTCACACTGGCCTTGGTGGACCTCGGATGCACCATTTACGCGTCGCCCGCGATCATTTCCGATCGCGCGACGACGCTGCGGACATGTGTCTGCACAACGGACGGGCACGTCTACCTCTGGGAGCCCGAAGCGCCATCATCGCCTGCGACGCTACTCTTTCAAGGCGCTGGAGACATCTTCTCGTCGCCCCTGGTGCTCATGGACGAGAGCACGATTGTGGTTGGGACGCGCGGCGACGTGCTGGTTGCGCTGCATGTGCCCGAGAGTGACGCATCGTCGTCGACCATGACACAATAGCAGACAACATGTCTTATTCTGTGTTGCGTATCGTTGATTCGTATCGTCCAACGCAGACAAGGTGTCTAGTCGCAGCTCGCTTCGAGAGCGCGGCGCTTAGGGCGCCATGGAAGCGAGGAGGACGGGAAACACAAATCGCATGGCGGCGGCTGAGAGCGCAAACTCCAGGACGAAGCCGATGACGCCGCCAGCGACAATGTCACTTGGGTAGTGGCGACCGAGCGCGAGGCGCGAGAAGCAAATCACGGTCGCCCAGAGGACCATGATGGTGGGCATCGCGCGGACGCTCCATGCGCCGAGCATCTCTGTCAGGATGCGCGGGTAGTCTATCGCAGCATGCTAGAGCCCACGAGCGGATACGAATGCAAGCACGTACAGTGCGCGAGGTACACGATGAGCGCGACAAGGCACCACGACCGCGTCGCATGGCCCGACGGGAACGAGTGCTGGTCGGGGCCGACAAAGCGGTCGTCCGACTGGTGGTGCGGCGGGCGCTGGCGGCGGAAGATGAGCTTGAAGATGACGATGCACACAATGTCGACCTAGCCGCCGTCGTGCATAAGAAGGACACGCAGGATGGCATCATCACGAGGCTCGTACAAATTGGCAGAGGTAGAAGAAGTAGAGGAAGGCCTTTTGGCCGTTCGTGATGGACGCCAGCACACCGGCAAACGACGCGAGTGCGAGCAGCGGCAGCACGATGAGCAGCCACCTACACAGCGCCATGAGCGACATGCTGGCTAGCATGGCCTTACAGGATGCCATCGCCCGTGAGGCTAAAAAACTCCCAGAGCAGACGCCACGCCTTAGAGGTGCCAAAGAGGCCGTAGATGCGCACGGCCAGCTGGAGGTCGACCTGGTACAGGCGCTCGGGCAGCGTGAGGTTGTTCTTGTTGCCCATGATGAGGTGTTCGCGCTCGCCCGCTTCTAACTCCAAGCTCATGCTCAAGCGACTGCAAATGAGGACGGCCCCACCTGCTCGCTACAACCCGGCGATCAGCACCGTCTGGTCCGGCGCTGATATTTGAAAGCAGCCGCGTTCTTTTTTATTCTTTTATTCGAAAAAGACCATTAAAAGACACTAAAACAAAGTAAACCGCGCTGAATGGCGTTGTTACCATGTTATGGCACTACCCGACACGGTTATAACATGGTTTTACAGTGCCCAGCGCCAGGGGATAGCGCCAGGACGATGTCGGGCCCTCATGACGCCTTCGCCGAGCCATGACGAGCTCCATGTCCCTGCAGGATGCGCTAAGTATGAGCGATGAAGATGAGGTCGACCTACTGCGGTTGTACCCTTCAGCCATAAAGATGAGGGGTTCATGGGTCGTCGACAAGGTGAAGTTCGACGACGCAACGATACTGCCCTCTGTCCCTAATATATTGCTAGCGCAGCAGATGAGCAAGGGACCTCCTTCCACAAGGAGAACCAGATCGTCGCCGGTGCCAAGGTCTTGCACTGTTTGGCCACTGCTACCTTTGTTCATGCCAGGGCTTTGAGGCAGTGATCCGGCGCAGCCGCTACGCCCCGAGGTATCGCACGGCAATTGTACTTCGCTGCCTCTTCGATCAACGCATCTGTGCAGTGATCTGATGGCCGAACCCTTGCACATTCCGAGGGATGTCAGTGGCACGCCGCATGCATGCGCATGAATTCATAGCGTCGTTGTATTGGACGCACTCGAAAGGCGCTGAGAGCGTCGCCATTTGCGCGTCGGCCAAGGATAGTTGGATGGATAGTTAGATGGATGGATGGATAGATAGGCTACTCCTGTGGAGCTCTCCTTGCCCTTGCACGCGCTGCCCTAAGCGGGCGTCGCATTCTCGCCGTTGTCGTGGCGCGCGGCTGTCAAGGACTCGATCAACCTCATTGGCTGATGTCTTGGCGCTGCACGATTTGGATTGGTCAAACTCAAACCAATGGACCAATCAGGTCGTTGTGCGGCCTTTCTGCAGAGGTTGCGCGCTGCGAGCATCTCTTGGACGCCCCTTGGCCCGCGGTGTCTCAATCTTCCTTTGACCACGTGCAGCACAATGCGTCTATACGCTCTCACACTGGGTCTCTTGGCGCATGCAGTTGCCGCCGACACGACCGAGTCGGCCGTCACCCTCGTCCTTTCGTACGTCGTCCGCGCCGTGAGCCTCCGGTCGCCCGCCGGTCCGACGCCCGCGCCGTCGCCGCCCGACAGCTCGCTCGACTTGCTTCTCAACGACCACTATTCGCACATTTGGGGGTGGTCTCCTTGCGGGGTTTGGAATTCCCGTCGGGCTCGTCCTCGCGTTTCTCGGCTATAAAATGTGCACGGTCTCGGCGCTCTTTTTGCGGGCTTCTCGCTTGGCGGTCTCTTGCTCTACGTGCTCTCGCTTGTGATTTTCGCCGACCAATCGTACATCGTCACGGCGACGTGGGTCGGTTTTCTCATTGGCGCGCTCCTCATCGGCGCCATCTCGATGCTCCTCGAACAAGTCGGCAACTTTGTCATTGGCCTCTGCGCCGGCGCGGCGTTTGCCGCCATCCAGCACATTTCGTTTGGCTACAAATACTGGCCGTCGAATCCGAACGGCGCCTTGTACATCAGCGTCGCGTCGTGGGCTCTCGTCTTTGGTGCCCTCACCGTCCTCGGGGGCAAGCCGCTCCAGATTGTCTCGACCAGTCTCGCCGGTGCGATGATGACCGTGTGGGGCATTGGGTACTTCTCGGGGCGCTACCCAAGCGTGTGCGACCTTCCGCGCAAGCAGGCGTTTGCAAACGGTCCGTGGGAGTATGAGATTCCGTCGGCGTGGTGGGGCTACCTCACAGCGACGCTCGTGTTGTGGGTCGCCGGCATTGGCATCCAGTTTGCCGTCACGGCCGTCGAGCCGGTCGTCGTCAAGAAGGAAGATCACCACGCGACTCACGAGACGACGCACCACCGCGAGCTCTACGCGCATCACCACCTCTCGCCGTACCGCAAGTCGCGCTCGCAGCGCAAGTCGTCGTCGTTCTCGTCGTCGTCGTCGTCCGACACCCAGCGCCACCACGGTATCGAAATGACCGAACGTCGGCACCACGACGACCATAAAGAGACGAAGAAGCACCGCACGAGCAGTCGCGATGCAGGGTCGTCGATGCCCGACGGGGTTCCGATCGTCGAGACGCACTACGTGCAAGTGGGCACACCGCATCACCAGCACGACCACCGCCGCCACCACAACTTTTAACCGGTCGGGATGGACCTGTACTCTACAACTAAACTTACAAAACAGACAACTTTTGTGTCTTGCACATGTAGTATCGCGTGTCGTGCCCATCCTGCACACCAGCCGTTTTGACGAAGCGAGGTGCAGGGTCCAGAATGTGCTAAATGGAAACGCCCACAAGCCGCGCATCGTGGTCTCGATTCCGTTGACCACGACCGTGCTCGGTCTAGCATCATGTCGCACCGTACATTATTGTCTATCCATTACGAGACAATTTTGGCGTTCAAAAATGCCACGTCGTTGGGCGGCCGCCCGAGAAAACTCGAGACAAGGTCGGTCGCATCGACGCTGCCGCCGCGCGCCAAGATACTCTCGCGGTACTCGACGCCCGTGGCCTGGTTTAGAAGACCCTCCGCCGCAAACCGCGTGGCAAACAGGTCGGTCGCAACGACGTCGCTCCAGAGGTAGCCATAGTACTATCCACAATCCGAAAATTAGGGTTAGGGTCCACACGTGGGGGGGTGCTACCTGTGCGTCGTAGGTGCCGACAAGGTGGCCAAACGACGCCGCGACGTTCGTGCCACGGGTCATCGGGATCAAGTGCACGGTGCGGTGCAGCGTCTCGAGGAGGTGAGCCATGTCACCTGCATCATCGTCGCCATGCACGGCCTGGTCAAATAGCGCGAACAGCAACTGGCGTTTGGTCTGCAGGCCGGCGCAGACGTTGCGCGATGCGACGAGCGTAGCGATGCGCTCGTCCGAGAGCGGCTGCTGCGTCTTGTAGTGGCACGAGAGACGGCGCAGCATGTCGGCATCCCAGCACCACTGCTCGAGCATTTGGCTCGGTGCTTCGGCAAAGTCCCGCTCGACGGCCGTGCCGCCAAAGCGCTTAATGTGCACTTCCGAGCACATGTGGTGCATGACGTGGCCAAACTCATGGAAGAATGTGACCACCTCGCTGTGCAGGAGCAGGGACGGCGTGGTTGCGCTCGGCGGCGTCAAGTTGGCAACCAAGGCCACAACGGGCAGCTATATATCACCATATGTCGATCGTTGGCGCCTTCACTTCATGCCGTCGCTACCTGTCGTTTGAGCTCAGTGTCAAGCCCCGTGGCTTGGAGCCCATGGCACGCGGCGTGGTGCGAGACCTTGCCGCTGCGTGGGAAGAGGTCGAGGTACACGTAGCCCATGAGGTGGCCGTGCCGGCGACCAGCCCGCGCGTCGTGCAGGGCAAACATCCGGACGTCGGGGTGCCACACGTGCGGCGAGGGCACCTACATAGTGTCGTGGGTCGTATAGCGGTCTTATGGATCGGATGATAGCGGTCTTATGGCAATCTTCGGGTGTCATGACCTCGGTGAACGTGACGGCGAAAAGCTCAGTGAACGTCTCGAGCAGCACGCGTGTGACGTGGCATAGCGGGAAGTACGCTTGGAGCTCGTGGTGGTCGACGGCGCAGTGCGTCTTTTGGTACATATGGAGATAGTACCGATAGTCCCACATGGCCAACGAAGCGTCTTCGCTCGTCGGTTCAGTCGCGTGCTTGAGCGCAAGCAGCGATTGCAGCTCGGTCTCGGCGAGCGGCGTGAGCTTTGCATCGAGCGCGTGTAGAAACGAGCTGATGTTGGCGGGCGACTGCACCATCCTAGGTAAACGTACAACGACGGTACTGTACAAGCCATGCAACACGATGCGCACGGTACCGAATGCTGGCCACAAAAGCCGCGTGCGATGGAAAGCCAAGGAGCGACGCGGCTTCGCGGCGAAGGCGCAGCATCTCTTCCAGGATCGGGACATTGGTCGCTTGGCAGCGGCTACTGAACGCCGCCTCGACACGCTGCCGCGTCGCCGCCACGTCGCACGTCTGCAGCACCGATAACGCGATCGGGTAGTGCATCGTCACCTGCGTGACCAGATGCACATGAGCGCGACACAAGGACGCAAACAAGAAACGGACCTTGAAGCACCCATACTTGTCGGTCGCCATGGCCGTCAGCACGTCGGCCGAGACGCCGCGCAGCTCATCGCGGGTACAGAGCACTTCGGTGGAATCGTCCGAGAGGTTTTTTGCAAACGCAGTCGCAAGCGATGCAATCTTCTTCTGGAGCCAGAGCACGCGCTGCCGGAGCGGTGCATCCAGGTGCACGCCGTTGCGCTCAAAATCACGCACGAGGCGCTGGACGAACCGACCCTTCTCGCCCTCGAGGCGCGCGCCCACGGCGCTGTCCGCGAGCGCCTTGATGACGCGGTAGACGTCGGCGCGCATGCTGCTGTAGAGGCCATAGGCGGTGATGGCTTCGTGGGCGGCCGTCGCCGCGTCGCGCAATGCTGGCGTCGCGCCCACGTCGCGCAAAAAAGTCACGCTGCTAATGCGCGGCGACAGCTCGAGCTCGATTTGCGCGAGCCGCGCCGCCGTCTCTTCGTACGTGCAGGACTCGGCGAGCGCAACTTCGTCGTCGACGGCGCGCCACGCCTCGAGGATCGCTGTCGTCTCGGCAGCAATGTCTGCTGGCGTCAAGTCAAAGCGAAGCTTCGTGAGCGCCTTCTTGTGCGCGACGCTGAGCGCGCGCCGCTTGTGCACCACGAGGAGCGCGAGGCTCACGGCAACGGCGGCGGCGACACCGACGCGTGCGGCCTTGACCATGATGCAATGTGGGAGTAGCCGACGCGTATCCGGAATTATCCGTCCGGAAATCGCACCGGGTGCCGGATTCCAGCGCCCGATGGACCTAAAACTAGGCCATCCAGGACTCATTGACACGCTGAAAACTCAAGTGCCAACCATGAGTGCCAACACTCACTCACCACCTACTACTGCTACCTACAGCTATCAACCACTACTAGAATTGATAAAAGAGCGACAATCCCACGGCGCACTCTGCTTTGGTCGACCTGTAGAAGCATAGACAGTTGCTCAGTGGGCCTACAGCAACGCTCAGTCCCGCAACGCGAGCAGTTGAACCCACTCGTCGCCTGCCCGCGCCGCTGCCGGAAGATGTCCTATTCGTCCGTGCCCTGCTGACGCTTCACCCAGTATCTTTAAGAGCCATACGTCTGCAGGAGGACTAAGGACTGGCTTTGCTCCCTCGCCAAGGGACGAGGCGATTCGCGATCTTCCCGCAAGATATGGTGTCGTCTTGTCTATGAAGTTATCGTATCCTGCTCATATGATGATATTTTCCCAATGCTGCCTCAAACGAGAAGTCTTTCTCGCTATCTAACAGTGTTAATGGCGTAGTGAGACGCTTTGGTGAACTATACTCGTATCTTTCGAACGACCACTTCACTTTTGGTTTGGCTCGCTGCCAGCATGATGACCTCGCGACCAAGTACCTACGGAACACCGGCCCATGAAGGCGATGGGCTTCTCTCTGCGCCGCGCCGCTCCTCTTCGTTGCGCGCGAACGTCCTCCTTGGACTCAATGTCGCGATCGCAGGCGCCTTGGGCCTTGTCGGCGTCTCGATGCACATGTCCCACGCTCGCTTTGAAGCGCTCTCGGCCAAGATGGACGATTTCTTGTACGTGTATCTGGTCGTCTTGCCATGATGGCAATGGCTAGCGTGCCTAGGAGCCAAGCACCGACGGCCGATCTGCACGCCGAGTACCGATCCCATGCTGTGGCCCCGTCCAAGTACGCCGTGAAGCACGTGACACCACGCAAGGACCAGTCCCAGCGCGGAACGTGCTGGGATTTTGCCACCATCGGCGTCCTCGAACAGTCGTACCGCGCCCACGGCCTTGCCCATGGCTGGCTCGAAGAAGACGAGTACGTCTCGTTCTCGGAGCAGGTGCCTCGATCGCGCCACGCCCTTGATTCTACCGACGAACTAGGCGTATGGTATTGCTGTCATGGAGCTTTGCGCGGGTCCGCCGTCGTCGCCGCAGCAAGTGGCTTGTCGCGTTGCCGGCGACTCGGTAGGAGCTTGCGACACATGCCCGATATATTGATATTTGGCGGTGTACAGATGTGGAAGAATTCGACCGAAGGCGGCGAAGTCGGCGAGCTCTACTACCTGCAGCACGGACTCACCAACGCGGTGTTTCCCCACGCGATTTGCCCGTACATCAAAACAGGCGGGAACGACTCGACGTGCCCGGGGCTTTCATCCGACCGCCGTCATGACAACCCGCTCAAGTTTAAAGTGCGCGTACGTGGGTCGTGTCTCTAATCGATGGGACAATATGTACACATTATTGTCCTAGTCCATGGAGACGTGGTACGACGACTTGACGATCAAGGCGCGGCTGTTTGAGCAGAAAAAAGCCATGGCGCTCTCAACGCCTGTGACGTACGTGACGCACTACTACCCGTGCATTGGCGAGTTTGCGTCCGACCCACACTGCACCTTGGACCACTGCACCTTGTGCCCGACCGAAATGTCGGCAACCTCGTGCTGCGTGCCGCTAAAAGGCGGGCGCAACCGCAACATGGAAGGCGAGTTCTTCTCGCACCGCGGGATGACGATTGAAGGCGGCCATGCCATGGTACTCTATGTGTACATATGCAAACATGGGAGACACGCAGCGTAGCTCCTTGTCGGCTACAACGATGCGTTCATGACGCGCGATGGGTTCACGGGTGGCTTTGTTGTCAAGAATTCGTGGCTCGACGGCCCCACGCAAGGCAGCCATTCGCTCCACTACTGGATGCAAGAGCACTCGGACTGGGAAGAGCGCGTCGTTTGCCCCAACTCGTACAAGTACGTGAAAGAGTTCGAGTCCGTTGGATTCCAAGAGGATCACGTGTACCTATCTCTTAGTCCGTTCAACTGGTACCAATGCGGCAACGACGCCGAGCCCGTCGTGGCGCCTGCCAACACGTCGACGTCGACGGTGACGACGGCGCCGCCCACCAAAAAAGAGGCGTTCAACCGAACCAAGGCCTTTAACGGCGGCATTAACGCTTGTCTCTCCAAGGAGACGCTCGTGTACGCTGAAATCAACTACCAGCCGCTGCACTTGGTGTGCATCGACGAGCGCCAGTGCTCGAGAGCTGCGAATGTGACGTACTTTGTGAAGAACACCACCGACTGGGGCGACCGCATGACCATCATGTGCCTCTGGGAGTACAATCCGGCCTCGGACGCGCGCGCTTTTTGCCTCAAGCCGATGCTGGAAGTCGACATTGCGAAAACGTTGACGTACGTTAGAGTTGCTGTGGAGCGATTTTGATTCGTTTTGAGTAGGCCCGTGCCCACCGAGGTGCGATCCAACGACCCGGACCGATGCGGGTTTTACTTTATGCCGTACGAGTCGATTCGCCGGTACATTGCGCAGTTCCAAGGCTTTTATGTCAACGCATTTGACATTGAGTGGCACCCGCAGTCGTATTTGCGCCATAAAGCCAAGTACCCGCATCTCAACTACGACCTCCCGCGCAGTCGACGGCCTTCCAGCACGCCGACCACTTTGACGGGCCGTTCCCGTTTGCACAGGTTGTCGACTTTCCACACAACTAGTGCTTCGTTCCTTCTGCCTGCAGTCTGGACTTTGTAGTGGGCCCTTGAACATTGATTCGTTGAAGCCTTTCTTGTCGCAGTAGTGAGATCTCGTAAGGTATTGTTTCGTGGAAGCTACAGAGTTCAGCGAGACTAGACACCGCCTCAATTTTGTACATCTCGATAGTACATTTCGAGTTCTATTATGTATAAATCAAGAGAGCGACGGTAGCTTTACGGCTTGACGCGCTGCGCCACCGGCGACGAGGCGGCCGTACTCGTCTTGGAGTCGGTCTCGTGCACCGTACTCGACGCGTCGGCGTCACCTTGTTCGCGGCTCACGGGCTACCGGCGAAATTCAACCCCTTCACATTGGGCATATAGAAAGGACGTACGAGGTTCATGGCCCAGTCGGCCGAGTCAAAGCGCTGGCGCTCGAGACGCTTGAGAAGGACGCTCTTGGCAAGATTCAAACACTAGATTCGGTAGCATATCAAGAAGCCGTGATGTCAGGCAGTAGCAGTGATATAAGCTACCTGCGGGTTGCCCATGCTGGTACGGTTGAAGAGTTAGCTGAGGAGAACGCTGCGACTTGAAAAGTGACGCTTAGAAGGTGTCGAGAATCGGAGAGCTGCCATGTGTCGACGATCTTATCTCGGCGCTGATTGGTGGATGCCTCTGCCTTTTCTGGCAAAGCGTGCATCTAATTGGCTGAAATTAATGCGATGCGGTCGGTAGCCTGTCATACTCGATGTTCTCGAACGTCTGTATCAAAGGAAAGAGGAACTCACGAGGCAGAAGTGCGACGCCGAGGCCAAGCCCACGGTGCCGGCTTCGCTGTGTTCGCGCGCCGCGTCCACAACGCCAGGAAGTGACTTGTACGTAGCGACGTGAGTCACGCAGTATCTTTATCCAGCTCTGACAAAACGCCTCGCAAAGTCATTCTCAGGTTCCACGAACACCTCTACAGAGTAGCGGGTGCCGGTCGCACCCAAGCATGACATGATCTCACAAGCTACTCGTATTGAGGACTTCATCGCGATGTGTGTACGTCTAGTCGTGCTGGACGTGAGAAGAGACGCGTACCGGTAGAATCTCTCCCTTACAATCGCTCAACAAGAAACCACCCACTTTAAAGGCGCAAGGCTGCTTGCTTCCTACTACACTACCGGTAGTATTAACAGACATGTGCGGCACCCGATCGCTCTGTGGCATGTCGCGCCGTCTTGCCCGGTTGCAGTTGGACGGCGACCGAGCAGGGGATAGTCGCTGGGATAGTCGTAACCGACTAAACGTGGCAGAGACGCGGTTGGTGCATTTTTGGCGCCAAATTTGATCCACGTGGCACGCTGATAATACCGTACCACAAAAGCGTTTTCGCTCCGAGATGCTGCAGTCGTCCCCGTACGCGCCGCTCTACGGCTCCCAAGAGCAGCTCCCCGTCGTGCGCCGCAGCCGCCTGCAGACCTCGAAGCGGTGGCTGACGCACTATGGTCTCTTGATCATTATGGTCATGAACGTCGGGATTCTTGTCCTACTCGGATGGGACCTCCATACGTCGACGGTCAACACTACCCGCACTTATGCGACCGTAAACGTCGCCACAGCACCCACGTAAGGATGCCCTCTCTTTTTCATTGAGACTCATCGCTGTCGGTAGGGCCCCAATTAGCACGATGACGACGGTCGTACCAATCTTGCCCGCCAAGTTCAGCGTCGACCACGTCACTCCGTACAAGAACCAAGCTGGTCGCGGAACGTGCTGGGACTTTGGCACGATCGGACTCCTCGAGCAGTCGTACCGGCGCCACGGCGTCTCGCAAGGCTGGCTCGCACCCCACGACTATGTGGCCTTCTCGGAACAAGTTGGTGCCTCTTTTCCAATCCAAAAACGGATTCCTAATGTCGGTAGGCGTACGGGATCGAAGTCGCGGCCATGTGCACAGGTCCAAGCACGTCGCCCCAGCAAAAAGCGTGTCGCATTGCCGACGACAATGTACATACGTGCCGATTGCGAGCGTCGTGCAATGGCCGACTTTGCACTTGTAGATTTGGCGCAACTCGACCGAGGGCGGCGAAGTGCCACTGCTCTACTACCTGCAGCATGGCCTTCACGACGCCGTGTACCCCGACGCTGTCTGTCCATACATCCCGACGATGGGCCATGACCTCGAATGCCCTGGCCTCGCCTTGCGCCAACAGTCCAACCCGCTTCGCTTCACCGTCGAGGTATGAGAGCCCCGTTCATTTGTCAATTGAAAATAAATCATTCTAGTCGATGGAGACATACTATGAAGAAGCGACGATCAAGGCCCAACTCGTGGCGCGCGGGAGCGCCATGCCGTTCTCGACCAACATGGTGACCGTCACACACTACCTCCCGTGCATTGGCGACCTCGTGACGGACCCACGCTGTGCGCCATCCGAGTGCCACCTCTGTCCGCCCGAGCTACCGCAAGCCACGTGCTGCATCCCTCAGTCCGGCGACAGCAGCGTGACAATGGAAGGCGAATTCGTGTCCCACTCGAGCATGGCCAGCGACGGCGGCCACGTCATGGTACCTTAAATGTGACGCGCTCATGTCAGATTGCAAGTGGTATTAGCTGCTCGTGGGGTTCAACGACCTCTATGAGACGCGGGATGGCTTCACTGGTGGCTTTATCGTGAAAAACTCGTGGGCCGACGGTCGGTACCAAGGCAGTCATTCGATGCAGTACTGGATGCAGGCAAGTGGATGCTCGCAATCCGATCTGAGTGTGACGATCTAGAACATTTCCGAGTGGGAAGAGCGCATTCTGTGCCCCAACAGCTACAAGTACGTGCATTTCTGATACCCACTCGCTCATTTCTACGCTGTCTAGTCCGTTCAACTGGTACATGGCCTCGGAGGAAGATGCGCTTGTCGGCATCGATGCCGTCTTGTCCGACGACTCGAAGCTCTACGCGCACCTCAACCAGATGCCACTGCATTTGCGCTGTAGCGACGCCGATGCATGCGACCCGTCGCTGGTCTACTTTGCGAAAAACCGCACCGACTATGGCGACCACATGTACATCATGTGCTTTTACGAGTACAACCCGTCGTACGGCACATCGACGCACATGTGCTTGTCCCCGATGCGGCAAGCCGACATTGCCTCCGTCTTTCAGTACGCTTCTTGTCAATGGTCGACATGTGGAAATGATTGTCTATCGTTCTGTAGACCGATGGAAGTCTACGAGAACGACCCGGACCTGTGCGGCTTCTACTTGATCCCGTATGCGGTGAATCGCCACATCAACGCGCAGTTCCAAGGCTTTTTGTCAACAGTTTTGAGATTGCGTGGGCGCCGCAATCGTATGCCGCCAACGCCAACGCGTTTCCGCAGTACGACTATGGTCCACTCGCGCGGTCGACCAAGCGCCAGCGACACGTGTCCTTTGACGGTCCATTTCCCAACGCGCACGTGTTCAAGACGCACCGACATCGACATGCGTTGTCGCAGCACTAACAATAATGTCATGTGCGTAAACAACCAGACACTGTTATCTCTTTTATGTTGCGTGGAAATTGATGTGCTCGGCAAACGGGAACGGGCCCGGAAAGTCCGCACGGCGCTGTGTCTTGGTCGACGCCTTGAGCAGCGTATAGTCGTACTGCGGAAACTTCGCCTTGTTGGCTACGAAGCTCGAGTCGGCCCACGTCATGTCAAAGCTGTGGATCCGCAGACCCTTGTAGCGCGCGTTGTAGGCGCGCAGCGTCTCGTACGGCATAAAGTAAAAGCCGCAGAGGTCCGGATCGTTGATGTACGCAACGCGGGGCGTGAGCTCCTTGGCGATCCCGTCGAGCCGGTTGGGTTTCAGGCAGAGATCGCGCGTCGCGTTGGTCGCGTGATCGAGCTCCCAGAGACAAAAGTTGTACATTTTGTCGCCATAGTCGGTCGAATTCTTGACAAAGTACGTGGCATTGGCGCGGCACATGTCGGCGCTGCAGTCGAGGTGCAGCGGCTGCTTGGAGACATTGGCAAACATCTCGATCTTGGGCTCCATGCACGGACCAAAGCCTGCGTGCCACGTCGACGTCGTCGTTGCATTCGCGCCGACAACTGCAGCATTTCCACACGCATAAAAGTTCATGGGACTAGACACATCTCTCAGAGACGTAAAAAGAGCAATCTGTACCTGTGGCTGTTGGGGCACAAGATGCGTTCTTCCCAGTCCGAGATGTCTTGGAGCCACCACTTGATCGAGTGCGACCCCTGCGTCGGTCCGTCGGCCCAGGAATTCTTCAAAATGAAGCCACCCGTGTAGCCGTCTTGGGTCAAGAAGGCATCGTTGTAGCCCACCATGAGCTACAAAAACCATGTCACCACAAGCCTACAAGTATCAACTTGATAGATCGATAGTACCATGCCGTGGCCGCCGAGGTACGTCATCGAGTGGTCGTGGAGGTACTCGCCCTCCATGTTGATGGCCTTGATACTAAACTGCGGCACACAGCACGTGGTTTGCGTCAGGCTGGCGGGGCACAAGGTGCAGGACGACGGCGCGCAGTGGGCCGCGTCATAGAACGCGTCGATGCACGGGTAGTAGTGCGTCACGGACGCGATCGACGTGCTTAGGTCCAAGGCCGCGCCTTGCTTGACGAGTTCGCGCTTGGCCGTCATGTCGTCGTAGTAGGTAAACATGCGCTAACAGACATATTGTCCACAATGCAGATATATCGATCGAAAGGAAGCGTAGTGTCTACCTTCATTTCAAACTGGATCGGGTTGGTGCGGAGCGCGGCGTCCATGCCGTCACAGACCGTGTCGTTCGGACCGTGCTCGCCAATGTACGGGCAGACCGCCTCGGGTAAAATCGCGTCCTTGAGCCCGTCTTCGAGGTAAAAGAGCGCCGAGCTTTCGCCGCCTTCGGTCGAATTGTTCCAAAACTATACAAAAATGTCAACATGAGAAAAAAAGTATCAAAGTATCAACCTCGTCGCCCGCAACCCGGCACACGACTTGCTGCGGCGACGAGACCGGGCCCGCGCAGAGGTTGATGACGCGCGTCCCGTACGCTTGCTCGGACAGCGCCACGTACTCGGTCTCGTTCAAGAATCCTTTCATGACGCCGTGTTGTCGGTACGACCACTCGAGGTACGAGATCGTCGCAAAATCCCAGCACGTGCCGCGGCGCACTTGGTTCTTGTGCGGGGTGATGTACTTGGCCGCAAACTTGGTCGGCAGCATTGCGTGTGGCATCGCCTCGAGGATCGCCGTCATGCGCCGGAGCTCCGCGAGCTGCGCATCGAGCGACGCGGGAGCTGGCGCCTTGGCGTGCGATTGCGGAATCTTGTCGGTAATGTCGACGGCCTTGAGAAGGCCCGAGGCCTCTTCGAGCTTGAGTGCGGTCGCTTGCAAGCTCGTGTGCTGCGCTTGGACGTGTGCGAGCGCGTTGTCGTAGTGCGTCATCGAGCTGTGCATGACGACGCCCAAGGCGAACATGACGCCAATCGCGACCGCGTTGAGGACGAGGAAGATGGCCATGCGCCGGGCATGGCGCCGGGGCGGGCGGCTCAAGAGGCTCTCGTTCGGGTTGGAGCCGTACGTGCTGCGCAGTGGGCTGTAGATGTCCATGGCTGCTGGAAAATCGCAAGTGGGTTGAAGATTGTCAGGGTCGCGTCCGGATACGGAGCGGCGATTACTATGGCGCCACACATTCATACTAAAAGCAAGTCATAGAAACACAATATGATGATAGTATACGAGTATCTAGTCATATTATAAACCAATCCGGATAATTGGCCAAGTTGAAGTGGGCGGGCACTGCAAGGTCGCACCTCCCCGTCCACCACCCAGGACCTGCCGCAACGACGACGACAGCAAGCAAATCGCCAGAGACCATCCGCCACAAAGCGCCCCAGCGATGGACTCGGTTGGGTATTGTTGCATTCTCGCCAGCTTCGCGCAGGGGCCTGTATCTGCATTCCTTGGACCACCAAAGGGAGACGGGTGACGACGACGAATCAGGTTGAAGGCGGCGCGTCTGGTTGAGCACGCCGACCACTACTACATGGATGTGACGCCGTTCAGAACGAATGGACAGCAGACCAAGCAAACAAAGGCGAGCGCAGCGACTCTCTGCGTGTGATGTGTGGTTACGCGTTCGCTGTGGCCATGGCGGCTACAAGCGATCTCTGGATTTGAGAATAAGTGCCTGCTATTGGTTGCGCAGGTACCAGCCAACGGCCAGTATCACTGTTGGTTGCGCAGGTACCAGCCAACGGGCAGTATCATTGCACGATCGGCTTCGAGCTTGAGAATTTGTATGGAGCTAGAAGCATGCAACGGAGCGCGACCTCCTCGGCCATGTGCTGTGGTCAATGATAGACACCGTCCTCGGACTCGGTGTTTGAACGATCTTTGAATCTAAAAGTCGATGGATGTACAAGCTACCACACGCGTCGAGGTACAGACTGCGTCATTGGTCGCTCGATCGGTGGGACTGGACCCTTCATTTCGTCTCGACCAACTACGCTATCTATTCGAGCAATGGCAATGCAGCCGCGAGGGCAGGCGGTGCGTCGCTGTTTATGGGAAGCACGAACGCCCGCCACGTCTTGATGTCGAGCAGGACCATCTTGGTTGGAAGGCGCAGTGTGAGCAGTCCGTCCAGGGCAGCAGAGGCTCGGTCCAGGTGGTAGACGTGCCTAAGTACCCATTGTGTCTGCGTAAATTGGTATTTGGCGCCAGACGAGAGGAAGAGGGACGGCACTGGCGTCATCGGCGTCGCATGACGACGCACAAGGAAGTAGCACACGCCGTGGGAGACGACGACGGTCGCCAAAAGCAACACAAGTCGTTCGAGGCGGCCAATCAAGATTTTGCCGGCGTCACAGACCACCAAGGCATCCATCTGGTATAGATCGCAATGCAAATCGATCGACGCGGCGGGTGTCACGGGCCACACGAGCGTAATCGTCGCGACAACTGCGTAGACCAGAAAACTGTTGAGGGTGACATAGTACGTCGCATAGTCGCCGGTTGCGACCAAAAGAATATCGTTGACGATCGTGATGAGCCACGTGACTTCGTTGGCGGCGAGAAGCGTCTTGTACCACGGATCATAGGTGGTCGCAAAGCGACTAAAATACCCCGAGTACGTCAGCTCGATCGTCGCTGTCGAGAGCACGCAGAGGGCCGTCATCGCGCGGAGCAACAAGAGCGGCCGACCCACCCATACAATGCCGCCGACACGGCCCAGCTCGGCCATGTTCCAGCCCTCAAACTGCCCTTGGCAAGCGAGCATGTAGATGGCCGCGAGGCCAGCGATCGCCATCATGACGCAGGTGACGTAGAGCACCCCGGACCGAAAGTACTGGGCGATGTTGCTCGGTACCTCGGACGCTAGCGGCGGCTGGCTCAGTGGTGCTTGGACGTCCGTAATGAGCGTGAGGGCGCCAGCGTCGCCTTGAAACGAGATCACTTGTCGACTGCCAACGACCCAGTCGTACAGAAAGAGCCAGGCGAAAAAAGCAAAGTCAATTTCGTCCTCATCGAGGAGGTTGATCGTCACAAGTTGCAGGATCGTCGATGGGCTCGAGGGGGTTGTAAACAGCATAAACGAGACGTTCATCGCGCGCACGAGCTCGTGCACCTGCAGCACGTTTTGCGAGAGGTCCGAGGGGCTCAGAAAGCCGTGCACAAACGACGTCGTCGCGTTGAGATAGACGAGGCACGCCGCCTGGTACGACGGTTCGTGGAGACACACGTCCGTGTAGTTGTCGCTTACAGCTAGTTGCGCGAGAAGAGCGCTCGCAATGTACTGTTGTCGCGTGGGCAGAACTTTCGACGTAATGCCCGAGTGGGCCATGCACGTTGCGTCGTACGAGAGCAGGTTGACGAGACCGACCGCAATGATCTGTCCCGAACTCAACTCGGGACAGAGCGGCGAGCTACCAAACGCCCCATAGTTGGCGGCAACCCACGTGCCAGGCACCGGATACGAAGCATCGAGCGGCTTGATAGCAGCATACGCCTTTGTGGCAGCACTTTCAGTGGCGAGCGAGGTGCGGGTTCGGTCCATGATAGTCGCCACAAGGCGCTGCAAGGCCGGCGGTGGCGCGACATACATCATATCAATGGACCCGAATGGCCCCAGGCGCGATGCAGTGAGTGACAAGCTCCGAGGCAATGGCAGTGGAAGGGTCCCGTTCGTCGTATACACCGCTGCAAGACTCGTGTTGGCAAAGGCGTACGTGGCGCTACCCCGCAGCAGACTCAAGCCGCCGATACCTGAATTGTTGCGACGGATTGCGCCGAAGTCGTTGGCGAGTGCCCAGTACATTTTGAACGACGTTTGCATCTCAAAGCGGTCCGTTGTTTCTTGCGACGTGAGCTTGAGCGGGTACGTGACGCCGTACGCATTGCCGATGACGTAGCTCCCATGCACACCAATGCGCTTGTAGTTTTGCCACTGCGTCGTAAAGTGCGTGAGGTTCTGGGCCCGCCAGTAGACCGCTTCGTCGGCTACCGAGAGGGACGCTCCAAAAGTGGCGCGCAACCAGTTTTGCCCGGTCGACGAGTGGCGCAGCTCGTTCGCGATCGCGGTCTCAAAACTGGGGCCCCAACACGCGTAGAAGGAAGCGACTGGGGTGTTGCGAAGCACCGTTTCGAGAAAGACGGCGCCATTGGACCGCATTTGACGACAGCGCGACTGCCGCGCGGCCGAGTTGGCCATCTCCCACGTCGCTTCCAAGTCGACGTAGCAGTACGGCGAGAAGATCCACGGCATATTGCAGCCGCTCGAGCGACGAAGACCTGCAATCGATGCTTCGATCGAATTGAGCCGTGAGTACTGGAGGTGCGCGCCATAGTTGGCTGGCGACGTTACCACCGTTGACGTAGCGGCAAACGATGCGGCGAGATTGATAGACGGTGCGGTCAACTCTAGCGCCGGCACCGCTGTCGTGCCGAGCATGAGCTGCTCGTTGAGCCAATTGGCAAAGAAGGCGTGGGCGCCCGTGCTGTTGAAGCCCGCCCAGAATAGGTCGTTCGAGAGGTTCACGTGCGAGATGTTGAGGTACGACAACGAGCCAACAATCGACGACGCGATATAGCAGAGCCCCACAACGCGACGCAAAAGGCTCCATCGAACCGATCGCTTGTCTACGAGCTCGACAAGTGTCGGTGCGGGACCTTCGATGCGGGACCGAGCGCGCCGCATGGGACGCGGCAAGACGACGACCTGCGGCGATGTCGAGAGGGTGTCCCGGACCAGTACCCAGAGCTTGATGTCAAAGAGATACTTGGAACCGCGTAGGCGAAAGGGAAGAAGCCCAGCAAGAACGCACGCTACATAATCCATCGCACATTGCTCCGACGACGAGCTGGCGGCCGGTGTCAAGACGGCATCGGCAAGCCCGCTTAAAAGCAGCGGACCCGCGAGGATTGGCCGACGACGCAAGCATAGAGCCAACGCCGCCCACGAGAGAAGGACGCTTCCGACTTTGATCGTAACAATCAAAGTCAGACGCGTCGCACTGCCAATGTAGATCACCCCGCTCGAGCACGAGACAGCGTAGTCCATGTTGATGCCAACGCATTGGCGGTCGAGGACGCCGGTAACCTGGACCGGCGAGAGCACTTCGAGCAAGAAGAGAGCACCCCACGCGAGCAGGCTGGCGATGGAGCTCAATTGCCGCGTGCGTTGCTGCGTGAGCAGCACCAAGAGATCGCTGAGAACGTATGTGAGCCATGTTGCCTCGCCCGCCACGACGGCCGCTTCCAACCAATGACGCGACGTCGCCACCAAGCGCGATGTGCCCGCCGTTGATGTGGCAAGAGACGTGTGCACGGAGCTTAGTAAGAGCGTCGCCGATGCCGCGCGCAAGAACGTGAGCGGTCGGCCGAGCCAGACCGCACTGGTGACACGGTTGAAAGCCAGAAGGTTGGCGCCATGGAAACCGAGTCGCGCGTGGCATGCATAGGCGAGCGCGAGGCCGCCGACGCCCATCAAGACGACGGACGTGACAACAACGAGGTAGTAGAGAATCTGTGTTGCTCTCTGTACTTGTTGCGTGCCCGTTGTGTACAAGAGCGGCGCTTCGACATTCGAGATTAATGCGACGCTGCCGACGTCCCCTTGGAACGAGAGCACTTCCCGACGCCCCAGCGCCCAGTCGGCGAGGAACATCCAGCCAAAAAACGTAAACGACGGCTCCAGTAGTGGCTGCCGAAGCACGCGCCACGTGCCGTTCGCGGTCGTTGCATATTGCATCAGCCCAAGGTCGAGGCCGACATCGTGACGCGCGGCCGACCAATCACCGATTGCCACGTGGGTGGGCCAGATCGCGTCGACGCCGTTCAGCGCGGCCAAGCACGTGGCTACTGAGGAAGGCGCTGCCGCAGCGCAACGAGTCTCGCTGGACAGTGTGTTGATCGTGGCAACGCGGGCTACAAGTAGTGCGAGCGGGTCGAGCACCATCTCGAGTGGTTTGGGTGCTGAGCAGTCGTTTGTAAAGTCAAACGACTGCTGCACGTACGATGTAGCTGGCAACGCAACACACAGCGGGTTGCCGCCATAATAGCTGTAGCCGTGCCACGTGAGTGGCATCAGTTGAATCGGTGTAGCCGGCGGCACAAGTGCGGCCACGTCGTTGGCACCAGCGACTCGAAGCGCTGCAACGGCCCTCAGAAGTGATGGTGGGACGGGAACGTGGAAGCTGTCGACACTCTGGAAGGGACCAATAAGGCGGCGAAATTGGGCGGCTTGGGCGGCAAACTGCCCGGGCACATCCGTGTTGCCGTGCATGACCTCGACGTCGAGCGCCGGGAGGTCCACCGAGGTGTTGGCCAGAAAGTACCGTGACGAGCCTCGAATCAGGCTGCGGTTGAACACGTGGTTTTGCCAGAGGTTGTTGAGCGGTAGCCAGAAAAGGATCACCGACGTCCACGGCCCCGCGCCTTGTGGCACGTCCTTGAGCGTCAAGAGCTGCGGCATGCCCAGTGCATTCTGCATGACCATTGTCTCGGTCACGCCCGGTCGATACCGGTTCTGCCACTGTAGTTCAAACGAACGCAAGTTATGGCGTCGCCAGTAGAGGAGTTCGTCGGCCACCGACGTCATCGCGCGCGCCGTCGCTACACCGCGGAGGAACGACCGGCCGTGGCTTGTCTCTTGAAGTGCGAGCTCCACCGCGACCGTGAACGGGCCATTCTCACCGCCCCAGACCGCTACATAGTCGGTCCACACCACATTGCGCAACGTGGCTTCCATATAGACGGCTGCGTTTGTCGCATAGCTCTCTTCGCACCGACGCTGGCGCAGCTCCGTATGGGCGACTTGAAAGGTTTTGTTAAAGTCGACCCAGCAATGCTGCACACACATGCGCATCGACCAGCGCGCGCTGAGAATACGCAGCTGCGGCACTGCGTACTCGATCGACGTGAGCTCACTAAAGACGATGCGCCGGGCGTACGTTGACGGCACTGTGGTCGATGCCGTCGCCGACGCGTAGAGCTTGTTGACAGTCGCGTCGGCCGCGTAGACATTGAGGGCACTGGCGCGTGTTAGCATCAGCTGCGCGTTGATCACGTCGATGAGAAAGGCTTCGTGGCGCGCCGGCGAGTACCCCGCCCACCAGAGGTCGTTGGCGAGGCTGGGCGAGAGGAGGGAAAGGTACCAGAGACCAGTGCCCAGCGAGACGAGAATGTACAGCATGCCGGCTAGGGCAAAGGCGCGTTGCCGCGCCGTGGGCGGTGTGGGCACCTGCGCCGCTGATGGTGCGACTGCCATCGAGCGCATGTGCATGCTACTGCGACGCGACAGGCGGTGCGATGAAACCGAGCAGTCGAGAAACCGCTTCGGCTTGGTTGGATTTCCCACCAGACCCCAAGTAGCAGTGCTGGGTAGTGTATGAAGAGCAAGGGAAATAATCATTTCGGATTGCATTTGTTTATAGCACCGTATATGGCGCTAGTACTCGAGGTTTGGTTTACATGTGGAGATGATGGAGAACATTGTCTGCCTCATCCCATGCGTTTTTGAAGCTCCATGGAGACAATCCCAGTTGCACCGACCTCTTCGCTCTAACAATAAAAAGGGTGACGCAGGTAATCTCAGTCACGCCAATGGCACGCGTACTAATACCTGCAGAAGGACAAACGGGCCTTGGAGCTTCTCGAGAAATGTCGCTTCCCTAATGGCCATAGCGGTGCATGGTAGCACCATGCTTCTATACCATCGTCAAGGTAGATACTTGTCTTCGTCTCGGATGCGGTAGGCGAGCAAGACGCGTGTCTCGGGACGCACGACGACGTCGACTAAAGTCGATAGCAGCGCGTCGTGGTAGTCGGCGTTGAAGATCAAGTCGGCGCCAACGACGTAGTCCCATCTCGTTGCATTGGCGGGGTACGTTTTGTGGAAGGCACTTAGCGACGCGGCGTCACCCCTAAGCAAAGCCGCAAGTAGAAATAATGTGTATGGAAGAAACCAAGAAACCAGGGCAAGTGGAGGGCGGGAATCGGCGGAAGGCCATTGCGCTGGACGTTGTCGCGAAAGATCGGAATCGCTTCGTTATCGCCGTCGGTAGCAATGACGTTGGCGCTGTGCGATGCCATCTTGATGGCGAGGAACCCAACACCTGAGCCGAGCTCGAGCACGGACCGACCCGCGAGCTCCATCGTCCGAAGCTTCTCCCAGAGGACGAGGGACGAGTCCCAGAGCGCGCCGCCCGTGCTGTTTTCGCCAAGGCCAAAGAAGTTCTGCGTCAACGTGACGCCGTCGACCGTGACCCGCCACTGGGCCTTGCGCTCGCAGTTTTCATCCTTGACCACGTCCGTCATATCGGCTTCAACGCGCCAAGATCAAGATGGTCCTGCCTGGATTTCAATAGATTAAAAACACCCAACTTTCGACATCACAAGGCGTTTCCTATGCAATGGCCGTATCCACGCCGCTTGTAAACGCCATGCTCTCTACAGCACATGGATCGTCTTGTGCTTGCTTCCTCTTGGCCAATGTACGTTTGATCGTTGCGTCGTATGTGTCGGCCTTGGGCACGTAAAGTTGCGTGCGTCTGGACCAGAAAGTGCACCAACCAACTTTGGATCCGGATACGGCGGGGAAGTCCCTGCGAGATCGATGAAGCGAGGTGAAGGCGGTGGGGGATTCCCTCGTTCTTCCCGCCAACGGCTTCATCATAAATCACAACGCGCGTCGTATTACGCGTGACTTGGTCTATTAAATGTACTTAGAGAATCATGCGCAGCGGGTCTTCGACGAGCTCCTTGAACGACGCGAGCCACTGGGCGCCGGTCGCGCCATCAATGACACGGTGGTCGCAGGCGAGCGTCGCCGTCATCTGCGTCGCAAACTTGTAGATCTGGGTCGCGTCCGGGTCGTCGTTGGGCACGACGCGCTTCGAGATGACGCCAAGGCCGAGCGAGCACGCCTGGTTGGGGCTCACAATGGCTGCGAGGGCCTTGACGTCGTACATGCCAACGTTGCTGATCGTAAAGGTACCACCCTCGAAATCGTCGTCGGCCAAGTCCGAGTGCTCGTTCGTGACCTTCTCGACGAGGGCGCGCACATCGGCGTTGAGACCATCGAGGCCCTTGAGGTTCGTGTCGCGGAGGACCGGCGCCACGACGCCGCCGTCGACCGACATCATCATGCTGATGTTGACGTTGTGGAACTGGCGCACAAACGTGCCCATCCACGCCGAGTTGGCGGCCGGGATCTTCTTCATCGTGAGCGCCGCGGCGCGCAGGATAAAGTCGTTGACCGAGAGCTGGTCGGTCTCGCCACGCGTCTTGTTCAAGAGGTCGCGCGCTACAGAGAATAGGATGCATGAGGATGGCAAATCGGATGGAATTCTAATACCCGAGAGAAGCTTGTCGAGCGTCACGTCGATCGTCAAGTGGTAGTGGGGCACGTCAAGCTTCTGCTGCGTCAACTGCGCCGCGAACGCCTGGGCCTTGGCCGAGAGCGGGACGTCCGTAAAGTCACCATGATGGACAATCGGGGCGGCGACGGCGGCGACCGGCGCCGCCGCAACCGGCGCGGCAACCGCCGGCTGCGACTGGACGCGGGCAAGCGCCTCTTCAACGTCGGCGCGGATGATGCGGCCCAACGGGCCCGAGCCCGAGACACCGGCGAGCGTCACGCCCGACTCGCGTGC